AGAGCAAATTTGAACAAAGTTTTAAAAAGCGAAAGCAATTTTATATATTTCTTTAATTTTCTGTTACTTTCATGTTATACCGAATTAACTTAATTTTTTGTTTAACAATATATAAAATTTTTGTGAAAATTTATGTTCAATTGACGTTGTTTCCAATTTTTGCAAAAAAAAATTTAAATCAAAAGTGGAGACGAGGAAGAAATTTTTGATACAATTAAACTATTTAAATTGAAAGGAAATTTTCTTCATAACTAAAACAAACAAAATATTTTGAATGAAGAATGTAAATTGCTTGAAATATTACTGCAAATTTCAAATATATACATATAAATAATAATGAACAGAATACATAAAAACTATTAGGAAAGCAAATATTTAATCATGGAAATATCAAAATTTTCTTGCATATATGAGATTAACGACAATATTAAATTGTATTTGTTATAATGTCTGGACTATTTAACATTGAATTAAGAAAGCTATAATTAAAAATATTATTTTATAATGTACGAATTATGGACTCTCTTGTTGAATAACAAAAAAAATAATATTGCAAATAAAATAATTAACATTAATTCATCATTTTCCTTTAAAAACAAAAAATTGGTATTTTCTTATTGGTAAAGTTATATTTAAAATAATTTACAATATTTTATGTAATACAATCCGTTTATGTAATTTTCTGTAAGGAAACCACTCAATAAATTTGAGAACGAAACCATTGCACATTTATATAGCATAATTGGAACTATTATTGTATATACAAAAAGATGATGGAAAATTTTCATAAGATCTTATCGTCATCATTATCAATCTTATTAAACTTATTATGCAATCAATTTAATTCAATATTTTAATCCTTTACTACTACGTAAAAACTTAATTAAAGAATGCAAAAAATTCTTTTGATAATGATAAATTTTTGTTTTTCTATGAATCAAAAATACTTTTTCAAAAAATTTTTAATCCATTATTTTTAAATATTGATTTTTCTCTTGTAACTTTCAAAAAAATAAAATTTTCTTTTAGCTATACTAATACTCATATACATGCATAATATTTACCAAGTAATTTAGTAATAAGATGGCTTTTACATCATACTTTTATTAGATTTTCAAGAGCAATAACCATTCCTTTTAAAGAAAATTCTAAAATGCAAACTTCATTACTTATATAATTATGTATGTAATTATTTTATACTCGTATACATCAAATGTATATTATCATAGATATTGCAACTTTAAAGGATTTAACCTTGAAATTATCATTTTTTTATAATAATGTTTTAAATTAATTCATGTAACACTTTTACATTATTTATTATCATATTACTTACATGCTATAATAATAAGAATTACAATTTATTATATATTGTTATACATAGAAGAGTAAATACATTTTATATGTACGTATAAGAGAATTTTTCTAAAGAAAGAGCTAATACATACTTACTACCTTTACTATACAAACATGTTATTAAAGTACTCGTATGTGGGTGAAGCTTAGATAATTTTGTATGAAATTTTATTGTAATTTAAGAGAAAATCCTTTTGAATTTTTCGTTCTTTTTTTATAATTACTTTCAAATAAGTAAAAATTTACCCAAGCTAAAGTTATATACATCAAACATATTATATATATATATATATATATATATATACATATTTAAAAGACATAATTACTATCTTGATCTCTTTTATTTTTAATATTTTTTTTTGTTTCTTGAATTATGTATTTTATCATTATGATGGGTCTTTGTCAGCTACAAAATATTTAATGAACTTTTTGAATTATATGATTGTATCACAGAATATGAGCAAAAATTTTAAATTACATGATAACTTAAGGCAAATTTAAAGAAAATAAAAAAAAAAATTGTCAAAACAGTGTACGTATGTTATTATATTTTGTGCTCTATATAAATTTATAATCATGTAGCAGAATGCACAAACATAATACATGTTTTATAATGTAAGTACAATAACATTGTCACCTTTTTGATTTGATCGTATATTAATAATATCTTAGCATTGCTATATAATCTTGCTATATAGACAAAGTTCATTTCATATTCCATTTGAGGAAAATTTCGAATTTATATAAATCAATATAGATTTACTATAATGTAGATTCAAAGCATTTCTCATCATATATTTAAAATTATGAAATAAAAACAATTAAATTCAGTGTCAGATGATTTGCATATACGGAAAATATTCAAAAATTTTTAAGTAAAACTTTGAAATATTCAAGAAATTTTAATTAAAATGTTAGCCACAGGCTGTTTGGGAACATGTTTAAGAAGCTTTTAAAATCTGCTTAACTTTTCAATATTTATGAAAGATTTATAATTAATATAAAAAAGTAATATCATGTTTTTTAGTTGACTAAGAGTTATAAGTATAAATTTTCCTATTCTATTTTACATATCTTCATATTTTGGGAAAGTTTTTCCTAGATAGAAATTATAAAATTATAAATCGCTTGTTTATTATTCATAGGTTATGGTCGTAGATCGAATAAATTCAATATTTTCTGCTTCAAAGCTTTACTATAACGATGAATAAAAGTTATCAGTCAAATAGTCGAGCTTGGCTTAGAAAAATTAAATCATAAGTTGTAATAATTTTATATGAACATCTAGCTACCTCAATTTTATGTAATCACGAATTTGTGCACTTATATAAATTTTGTAATATTTTATTAAAAAAATTAAAAAAAAAAATTTTAGTTATTGAATTAATTGAATTTATTTATAAAGGAAAATGCAAAATTTTTTAATCAAGAAAATTTCATATGGGATTAGTAAAAATAATACAAGAAAATTTTTTTGTCATCTTAAGGGAATTGAATTTATTTTTTCAATTTATTTAATTTTTTCTTACATTTCTTTTTATTTTATTTTAAAAGACACACAAGACATATACATATGCACATATTATATATGTTAAACTATTATATAGTATTAAAATAGTTATTCTAATTCGAATTTTACATATAATTTTTAGTTATGCATGTACATTATGTATGTACTTGAATTATCAATATCCTTATGGAAATACTTAAATATAAATTGTGAAAAGTATAAATTTACATGTATGTACAAACATATTTGTAGACATAAAAATTTCAGTTGAATTCTTTGGAAATTTTTATATCTTTTGTTTTATTGTAGTTTTGTTAAAAAATAGCTACACACGCATGCATAAACATTATTATAATGTTCATAAATAATGGATGAAAGCTCAAGATTCCTATTAAATTTTTCAATTTTAAATTCATACATGTATTTATGAGCAATTTATAACAATATTTTTAATATGACTAGATTAGATGTAAAATTTTTTTATTACATAAGGTCTTGTTGAAGAAATTGTATAATATGGAAAATGGGAATTTATTTTTGGTACCTTGCATATTGGAAATATTATTTTAAATAGATGATTTAAAAAATTACGTTTTCTCTTTGGAATTAAATGTGGCATTTATATTTTGTAAAGGTAAATTATAAGCTTAATTATAATATTTTTCTATATCTTATAGCAAGAAAATAAAGTTAAATAATTGAAATTGAAGTAGTATTCGATATTGTTCAGAATAAAGGTTTGAAAACGCATTTGAATCGTATTTAAAACTAAAACTAAATTCAATTATACTTTGCAGTGCCATACAACAATAAAGTCTTTTTTACATTACAAGATACAAATTTCGATTTTTTGATGTTGGAAATGTGCGAGACACAGTTTTATAAAATTCTTTATTACATGCTTAAAATTAGTCGCATAATTTCGATTTTCTACACCAAAATGCAACATAAAGAGTCAAAAATCTTAAAGACAACACAAAGAGTCAAATATTTAAATACAACATTCAAATATTTAATTTACATGAATTTACACCCTTTTAATATTCAAAAAGTACTTTTTCAATAAAATGATATCATATTGAAAATTGTACACATGCTGTGGTAATTTTTCTATTCCATGAAATCAATGACATCTCTTTGCATTTTAATGAATAATAATTTTTTTTTCATTTTTTTGTTACCATATACCTACCCATGATATACATAGTTAAATAATGGTTAGAAACCAATTCTCTTTGGCACGTTATTATCTTATAGAATCCAAGAAAAAAGCAACAACTTTTTTTTATGGTAATGGCGTTTTTAAAAATACTAAGAAAAAAATAGAAATAAAATAAATAAAATATTAATTCTGCATACATTTTTAACGGTAATATGGGCGTTTTATGTGATTTTGCAATATTAAAAAATATTTTAATTTGCAAAAATTTTAATTTTCAGAAGGTAACAAAAAAAAAAAAGAAAAATACCCATTTACTATTTTGTTAAAAATTTATTGCAATTTTAATTGATTGAAGGTGATATTTTTTGCTTATTTTTTGGAATAAAATAAAATAAATTTTTTGTTTCATATATTTTTTGTGCAAAATTAAAATTGTAGGAGTACCACTTGATGAAAAAATATCAGATATACATATATAAATGCGGATAAATAATCGATTTATGCACATATATTGGAATTTTGGTACTACAAATAAAGGTTAAATATTTAGGCAAAGATTTTAGTCGGTTTAAAATTACATTAAAGCACATTTTAGTTCCTAATAATATTATTAGATCTTAAACTGTCTTATGTCAGCAATTTATCACACGTATCTTAAACAAATGCGTGTCTGTTAAAGAGGAAACGTAATAATTTTAGAAAGAGTTCTTTTATAAGACTAGGGTTAAATTACATAGCACATTAATTTGATTATGAGGTATGGGTATACATATATCATGTTCTTTGTATATCAAATTAACTTACACCCCATATGTCATACAAGTTCATGTTGTTTATTTTGTTATTTTAGCAATTAAATTTTCAGCAAATTTAAACGTTTATTTCATAAAAAAATTTTAAATAACTTTCATAGGAAGAATGAATTTTAAATAAATAATTTACACAAAAAAAAGAAAACATAAACCTACTTACTTTCATTTGAGCCAGCCTTGATGTAGTTTGCGTTGTTGTTGTTGTTGTCGTTGAACTGTCGCTACCTTGTGACGCCATTTTGATTTACTTATTTTTTGTTTATTTTTTTTTTAATTTATTTATTATTATTTGTTTTTATATTTAAATTTTTTTTATAGAGCACAATATTTATTTAAAAAAAAATTATAATATTCCAAATATGGTGGTTATTCTTAATGAAAAAAACCAAACAACAATAAAAAAAAATTAATGAAATATTATTATTAGCTGGCTATTTTATATTTTTTTTTTAATTTGAAACAGGAAAAGAATTAATATTAAAAATCTATACATATATGGAACACGCGATTCAAATTATATCACTTTCCTATTTTCACGAATCATAGAATATTTCATATTTTTAAAAATTTAGATTCATTTCTCTATATGTTTTTTTTTTATAAATATTTAATTTATAGTTATCTATATACATGTATACACATGGAAATAACGTAATAATATGTGGTATGTGGAAGGCTCATTAAAATATCATTGAATTGTTTTATATTTTTGTGTTTCAGAAATACAATGAAATTTTTTTGAATTATGTGTACAAATGTGTATACATATATATTGTATTCTAGTATAAAAATTGGTCTAAACTACATGTATGAATTTTAAAAATCTGTGCTGTGACGAATTTTTAATTAAGTTTTAATTATATGAGAATTAATAATAATATGGTTTAATATTTTATTTTTATGGTATTCAACACATTTCCTCTATAATAAAAAGGAAATATTTAATCTCTGTGAATGACACAATTTTATTAATATTTGTTTAAAAAAAATTGTTTTTATTGCTGTCATATATATTGTGTGTATGTACGATTGTTTTATTTTTTGAATTATATAATTAACTAATTCTTTCTTAAATAGTCATATCGATTTAATATATTTGATTTAAGTATAAAAGATGAGTTTTACTGCATAATAATTTATCAGCACAATAAATTTTGGATAAAACAGCAGTATATTTGCCATAAGCAGTTTAAGTGCTTAGAAAATTTTATTTTTGTTTGAAAAATTTATATAGATTTCGATTCTTATTTCAATTTTAATTTAAAAACATAAGCTTCTAACAAATTCGGTGCGTATTCCAGAAGCTAGGACTGCCTGGCTTACTAATGCTGAATACAATTAATTTTCAAAAATTAAAAACCTTTAATTGTTTTTTAATTAATATTAATGGCAAATGTGTAACAATTTTTTTTGGGCAAAAGAAATGAAAATGATTTTCATGAGAGGGAATTTTTCCACAAATTATTGTTAGCTAAACTAGTATTATCTACATGTGTATAATAATATTTTTAATATAGAGATGAATGTGTACGTATTTCTTTAAAATAGACATTAAATTGTTAGAATAAAAGTTTAGACTACACGCATACATATATGGTAACCTTCCTTTCTTCTTTTCCTGCTCAAGTATGTGTGTATATATTATATAAAATTATAAACACAAATATATCTTATATTAAAATTTTTGTTAAATTATTTATTAATATTGTAAACATACTTATATGTACATGTATATATATATATATATATAGGAAGCGTATATAAACTTTTTAAATAAAATATTAACTTTTATTATTTTCTTATTTTTTGGTTTCCAAACGGAAAATTAATCTAGAACTTTTTTATGACAGTTAAGACTTTTGGTGTTTCTTCTTCAAGTCTTCTTTCTTTATTCTTTTTTTATTCGTATTATGATTATACTTTGCTATTTGGTTATTTTTTTTCAACTTGATTTTATTTAATATTTATTTTAACGTTATTTGTATGCCATCCGAAATACTAAAATTACTATCTTTCGATTATGTTAACTGTTAATGACTGAAGTAAATATTATTTATCTGTAAATAAGTGAAGAAAAAAAAAATGATCAGTTAAAAATTTGTTTTGCAAAAAAATTTTAAAAATTTTTACGGTAATTTAATAAAAAAAATAAATACACACAATTTTTATGTACATAAAATGTGCGAATTTAACTACATGTATAAATGTATACATATATACATAAAAACGTTATTGGGAGTGAATACGTAAATAAACAATTAGATCTTCAGTGAAAATAAGTGCGCATGTTTTGGCTTAACTTTAAGAATAGAGAATATGTGCAAGATCAAACCGATGGTTTGTAAATGGCACATTTCTCTTTAATAATTAAAGAGCCTTTAAAGTTTAGAGCTTATGTTTATACATAGCGTAAGTCTATGTAATGAAAGTGATCTTGCATTAAAGTAACAATTCATAATTTATATATAATTTTGCATAATTTTAGGCGAAATATTAGAATAATGATTTTTAAAAATTCTTATTACTTCCTCATTTCTGCTTTTATAGAATTTTGATGGAGCTTATAGTGCCGAACATATATAGGACTCAAACTGATACTTTATCGGACATTACTTGGATGGGAGGAGTAGAAGTAACGAAAAGTTTTTGTTCTAGTAAAATAAAATTCATATTTTTATTGATATCTGTTAAAATATGAGAAAGTGTTTTGAAATGAGGGTCTATTTGAAGGCTCAATTCGGCAGTCTGATTTTTATTAGTATTACTTACGATAACAGAAGTTATTTTCGATCTCGTGCGTGTTCGAGTACTTTATTCACCGATTACTTTAGGTTTGGATGCAGTGTTTTAACAATTCACATTTACACAATTAGTTCCAACTATAACTTGGCGAGAAGAGAGGGGTATAGAAAAAAATTTTATTCTAAAGATATAGTGCCTTCACTCAGGTCTATTTTGTACTTTAGCGAAATATGTACAATTTTATCTTGTTATCTTGAACGATGTCCAAATTGTGTTAGCAGACGGACGCACAGTGAGACTTAAAAGTTTATATTTTGATAAAACCTTAACTTTTATGGTGAAAATATGTAAATAAATATATGTATATTGTCTCCTTTTTAAGGTTTTCAAAAAATTCCTATGATATTTTTTAGATAATTTGCAAACAAAACATCAAATAATCAATCTTTGAGCATGAGGTATTTATTAATATTTGTATTTTAAGAAAGATTTATAAAAATAAATTAAATATTTTACCAATATCTATATAATAATTCGTATATTATGTAAAATATATGTAGAGATCATTGAAATTTGTTGAATATTTTAATATTTAGATTATGAATAGTTTAGGGTTTACTTTAAGATTACATTGCTATAAAAATTTAGTTGTGAGCGAACTGTATAACAAAACCACCTGTGCATTTTTTTTTCTTTTTATGGTCCATATTAACAAAAATTTAATTTAATATTGATTTTTTGTAGGGATAGATCATTTTTAAATTTAAATGTTCATTTTATTTCTGAATTCGTCAGTTCATTCTATAAAACATAACTGTAGGAATATTAGAAATTATTTCTGAATTCTGTAAACAGAACTTTAGAAGATCAAATTCTCGATTTTTGACTAGAATTTTGGACTGATTTTTTAGGAATTTTGAATATTGTTTGTCAAAACTAATTAGTAAAATTTTCTGCAAATTTGAAAACTATTTGATTTTCTCGAAACTCGGAATAAATGTATATATACAAAAGAAATTTTTAACCTATTTGCGCTAAACTGTAAATATTATATAAAACAAACATATTAAATTTTTTTATTCTCTTAAGAACATTAATACAGTACCTCTCTATATAAAAACAATTTAAAACCTCCTTAATATTTTTTAAATATTAATAAAATACAATACAAAAATGATAGCCCGATGGTAGGTTGCTATAATGTAAGTACATACTTATGTGTCTATATATATATATGTCCATATGTCTATATACATATGTACATACATATCACTACATATTTGCTGTTTAATGAATTGTTAATTTTGATTTTAAGTGCTTTTTCGCAGATTTCACCAAAAATAGGAATTCAAAAAAAAAAAAAAATTCTGCTGGTTGATTTTTATTTTGTAATTTTATAATTGTTGGTACTCGTATTTTATTATTAATTTTTTTTTTTATTTTCATACCAAAAATAAATAATTTTAAACATTTAAGTACGTACAATAAGAAGTAATGAAATTTATTAATAAAAACATGTTGGCATATTGATTTTTTTTATTTCTTACTTAAAAATTAAGTTATTATTGAAAATTGTTAAATAGTTTTTATGAAGATTTAATTAAAATAGAAATAAATCTATACGTACATACATATACATCTTTAAATATAATTGAATATAAGTATGTATGTGTCGACTATTCCGTACAAGTGGGTAGTTTTATATATGTACATACTATGTGTATTCTTTGTTAAAAAACAGTTATTAAGCAATAGGTGTATGTGCGCAAAATTTGTAATCCAATTGTTTTATTAAGTTTAAAATGAAAATAAAAAATTTTGGCACGATAAATAAAGTGTGACAAAATGCATATACATAAGTATGGATATAGCTTTTAATACAATATACATGCTTATATAAAGTTGATCATTGTGGGTTGTTTAAGGCTAATAATTCGAAACGAATATTGAGAGAAACTGTAAAAATTTGTAAGAATTCAAAATTAAAGATAATATTTAAAAGATGACCCGGAATTTTTTAGTAATTCAATGATGTTGACAATTTTTACTGTGTCAGTTATTGTGTGCTCTTTTTAATTTAATTAAAGTTTAATAGTAAGAAGTTCTGTACGTATGTTTAATAATTTCTTCATTTCAACCAAAATTAATTTTATTAATGTCCAATAAAAGTAAATGATGGAATCCCAAAGACAAAGACCAAATAAAAGTTATAATAGTAAATTATATAAGTAATTTGTGGTGGTTTTCAAAATATCTATATAATTAATAAAATTATATGAGAATATTCCAAATTACAGTACGAATGATTTATTATCTTTAGATATTTTATCTATTTTTGAACTTTAAATCTACATATACATAATTCGTTAACAAGGTTAAAGACCTGATATAGTTTTCAAATTTATTTGCTCATTTTTTTTTGGTTTTTAATAAACCTTAAAAAACAAATTGATGCTTAATTAAAAAGTGTCATAAATTACACTTTTGTCAAGAGAACTGCCTTTTTCCTTATTTCTTAATTGCAAAAATCGTATTATTTTAATTGAGAAAAGAAAATTCCAAATTTGGTAAGACTTTTTTTCTACAAGATGATTCATACAATATGACCGAATTCGTTTATTATTGAAATATTTACATATACATAATATAAATATCTATATATACATATTTGTAAAAAACCGGCTTTTTATTATTTAAAAATTTTTCTTGTTTTGGTTTTTTACGTTTATTTTTGTAAATGATTTGAAATTATTAATGATATGAACTTGACAAACTGGCTGAAAACTTTTGAGATGACAATTTATTATGCTAAATAGTTTCTTGAAATTAAAACGGTTTAACAAAATTATCTTTTTTTTAAATAATTTGTTTATTTTTTTTATTGAAGAAGCTTTAAGCTAATTTGGAATAAATTTTCATAAGAATTGCGAATATTAAAAAAAAAATTGAAAAACTTCTTTTTTTTTTTCGCTAACAACTCAAATATTTTGATTTATTGTAAAAATTCACTAATATACAGTTAGATCGCAATTATACAATACTAACAAATAAAACACTGAGCGCTACATATGTATTGGTTAAATACTCTTTCTAATATCAAAATCGTATATTACCGAATAGAAACAAAATATTTAAAAATATTGCCATTTATGGGTAATACAGTATTACTTAAGTTCGAATCTCAGAATTTTCTACACTAATAATTAACAAATGACCTGTTGTTAGAACATCAAACAAATTTAAACATTTTTATTATATTTTGAAAATGTGTCACTTACATTACCACATTTTGTGCTTGATTTCCTTATAGTGACTAAACAGATTGTTTAATATTTTTAAGAGACCCATTCTGTTTTAAATCGGATGAGATGTTTACACAATTAAGTACAATTTAAGCGAAGAAGTGTATTGTATACATACTTGCATAATTTTACTAAAAGAAATAGAATTCTGACATGAAAAAGTTGAATTAGAAAAGTGTTATACAGATTACAATTGCCAATACGTACTATATATTATAAAATATTCATATAACGCATAAAATGTAAGAATACTACATAACTGTTATACTGAATGTACTTAAATTTTATTACACTTTATTAATAAAGAAAAGTGTTTGCTTGTTGCTTCCTTCTACTAAATCTATTATACACGTTGCTGTTATTTAATTAAAAAGCATTGTTTTGATATTAAAATACGATTGCGTGCTAAATATAATTATTAAATAATATTTGTATAAGTAACACAACAATTAAAGTATATTTTTATGTGAGTGGGTTTTACAAGAAAATATAAACCAAGTATATAATGTTATGAATTATTCATGTAAAATTTAATATAAGTATAAATTAAACGCCTAGGTTACAATATATAAAATTTTTTTATTTTATACGTACGAAGTGTTAATTTTTCATTTAATACGTTGAAAACGAAATTTTTTTTTTTTATTTTATAGATTAAATAATTTCTTACGTAAAATTTTGACTTTAATAATAATTTAAAATTTAAGAATTATAACTTGCATTACAAGGTTGTCTATAAACATATAGAAGTAAAAGTAAAATGAATAAACAAAAAAGATTTCTGCAGAAAGTGAAACGAATTTTCGTATTGTATTATGTAATTTATAAATATGTACTCATAAGTAATAATATTTTCGGAATATATTCATACATACATACATAATAAACATTGTTTTGTTTTGTTGTAGTTACAAATTATATATTTTAATCTGCGTATGACGATAGAAGAAGCAAATTCGGTTTTAATGTTTTACGTCATTTTTGTAGTATAAATTTATGTTTAACAGTATAGC